CCAGCCCCTCCTCCCCAAGCACCTTTATGTCCACACCACACCTCCCCTCCCAGAAGGTGCAGCCAGTTCTGCAGCTGGCAGAGAAGCTCCTGAGAGGCCCAGCATGACTCAATCTGCTCTGCTCCAGGCCAAGACACACTAAAAACCCTCCAGCCAACCAGCACCTCAGGAGCTTCTCTTGCCCAAACACTCCCCAGAGCCCTCCTGCCACCCCAGCAGGAGCTGGCAGAGCCCCATCCTTGTGTCTTGGCCTCTATTTGAGGTGTGTGCCAAGGAATGGAATTAGCTCTTGGGCAATGCTTCTGCTTCTTGACTCTGGTGGTGGTGGTGTTGGGCCTCCTGTTGGTGTTACACAACCCCTTGGGCAGCCTCTGTGGCCTGGAGTTGCCTTGTTTTTGTGGGATTCAGGCATGTGTGAAGGGGAAACGGGGAGTTTTCTTTCCCTGGAGGGAGAAGAAAAGTGGTTTTGTTGTCAGGATTTGCAGCTCTTTGCCCTTCCCAAGGTGAAAATGCTGACAGTGGAGAAGAAGGTCAACGAGATCCTCAACAGGCTGGAGAAGACCAAAGTGGAACGTTTCCCAGACCTGGCTGCTGAGAAGGAAGCACGAGACAGAGAGGAGAGGAATGAGAAGAAAGCCCAGATCCAAGAGATGAAGAGGAAGGAGAAGGAGGAGATGAAGAAGAAGAAAGAGCTGGAAGAACTGAGGTGAGTCGTGGGTTTTCTAGAGCCCTTCAGCTTCCTCTGGCACCACTGGTGGTGACTCAACCACGTGCAGAGCTTCAGGCTCACCCCACTTCCATGGCAGAGCAGAGGGGGGGGTTTGAAATGTCAGCCTGACCTTTCTGAGCTCCTTCCTCAGCACTGAGAGCCCCATCCAGTGCCAGACCCACCCTCTGGCAGGCCCCAGGAGCTGCCTTTGGAGCATGAAGGAGTCCTGTTTCCTCTCTCAATGACATCAAAACCAGAATTTGAACCAAATCTGGGATTTCCTGAGTGATCCAACCCGTGGAGAGCTCCCAAATAGGGCTTACAGCAGCAAACAGAGCTGAGGAGAAGCCACCAGCTGATGTTTGTGCTGCAGAGTGAGGAGCCACCAGGTTATTTCACCTCCCCCTAGAGCTACCTCTTGGCCCTCCCCCAAAATAAGGGATTTTCTGCCTCCTGGGGTGATCTTGCTCATAGTTCCTGACCAAAACTGTGGAGCCTGCAAAGCTCCTGGGCTTTGTCTGGTTGTTTTAATTAACCAGAGACTCTGAGATCAGCAAATACTGGTCCAGTTTTGCCTCAGTCTGCTGAGTTCAATTTGGAAACAAATCTGGTGGGGTTTTTTGGGGTTTTTTTTTTTGTCCTGCTTGATCAAAACCCTTCTTGGTTGGTGGGATTTGAAAGCAAAGTGATGTCACTTCTCTTCCAGGAGCTACTCCTCCTTGATGAAGGCTGAGAACATGTCCTCTAATCAGGTGAGGGTGCCCAGAGAAGGCTTTGGGAGAGGGATGAAATTCCACACAGGAGCAGGAGGGAGGGCACAGCTCCATTTCCCTCTCCTTGGGGAAGGATATTGTCACCTTCCTGAAGGGCTTTTGCTGCTGTCTCAGCCAGGAGCAGCCTGTGCTGCTGGAAATGGTTCCACCAGGGCAAGGGGAGGGTTCTGCACTTAGGGAGGAAGAACCCCAAGGAGCAGGACAGGGGAGGGGGGACCTGCTGGGCAGCAGCTCCATGGAGAAGGGGCGGGGAGTGCGGGGGGACAAGCTCACCAGGAGCCACCAATGGGCCCTTGTGGCCAAGAGGGCCAATAATCTCCTGGGGTGCATGAAGGAGAGTGTGACAGCAGGTTGAGGGAGGTTCTCCTGCTCCTCTGCCCCAGTGAGGCCACTCCTGGAGTACTGGGTCCAGTTCCAGAGAGACCAGGAGCTACTGGAGAGAGTCCAGCAGAGGCTGGGAAGCTGCTGAGGGGCTGGAGCATCTCTGTGCCAGGCCAGGCTGAGAGCCCTGGGGCTGCTGAGCTGGAGCAGAGAAGCCTCAGAGGGGATCTGAGCAGGGCTGAGCTCAGGCTGTCCAGGGATGTTCCACAGAGCTACTGGTGGGATCCTGCTCTCCAGTTCCTCCCAGTCCCAGAAACTGGGCTGCAGGGTGTGGGAGGTGACACGGGGCAGGGGCAGCAGTGGCAGTTCCTGCCCCAGAGCTGCCCTTCTGCCTCCCCTTGTTCTCATATCCCCACGTTTGTCCTGAAATGGCATAAAACCAACCAAAAGAGTGGTTCTTGACCTCCCAGTTTGACCAGTTTCACCACCAGAACCTCCACAGTGACCCTGGTTTGTCTTTTTCCCCCCCCCTCCCCAGGACGGCAACGACTCGGATGACTTCATGTGAGCAGCTCCTTCCTCCTCCACCACTCATGAGGGATGTCTTAAGTCACCATCTCTTAAGAATGCCAAAAAAGAAACACACACCCCCCCCAAAAAAAACCCTGAACTCTTGTCTCCATTTCTTCAGAACCTGGTGGGTTCTCCCACAGCTCGACCAGCTCAGGCCACGGGACGACTCGGGGAAGGAGAAACTCCCCTCTGCCTGCCCCTCCAGCTCTCCCTCAGGGCCCTGGGTGGGAGGAGATGGTGTTTGGCTTCCAGTTTGACCAAGAAAATTCTATTTATTCGAGGGAATTGAGCTCTCCAGAGGGATTTGAAGAGAAAGAAACTCATTTGTGCTGTCTCGTGGAGCCCCGGGGCCTGCAGAACTCTTCACCTGCTCGGGGGGGTCAGCAGAGCTGGAGGAACCTCCCTGCCACTGGGAGAAGGTCAGTTTGGACGTGCTCCCCACCAGCTTGGGAGCCAAATTCCAGTGAGGAATCTGAATCTGGTGAGGGGAATCTGGTGGCTCCTCATGAAACCCCAAGCTCCAGATGCTGGAGGCTGAGCTGGGGCCGTCGTGAGCTGCTCCAGGGGCCTCAAGCACAGGCTGAGAACAGCCCCACTGCCTGTTCTCCTTTCAACCATCCTTAATTCCTGAGAAACCACCTCTGGAGAGAGAAGCTGCTGAAGAAATGTTGAGTTTTGGGCAGTGTCTGACCCCAGATCTCTCCCCTGAGAAGGTTTTGGGGCTGGACACAACGGTCGTGAGAATTCTGGGGGCACCTGGAGATACCTCACGATTAAATTCATCTCCTGCTGCTGAAGTGTCCTGCTGGGGGGGGAGGAGGGACCCCAAAAAGCCTCCTTGGGCAGCACATGCTCCCGGGGGGGCAGCAGGAGTCTGTTGAGGGCTGGGTTTGGGGGGGAAGGGGCTGGTTTTGGGGGGGAAATAGGCAAAAAAGGAGCTGAGCTTCAGCAAGGGATGTCCCAACAGGCTCCTCAGAGAGTCCTCGAGGAGAACAAAGGTCCTGCTCCAAAGGCCAGTCCCAGTAACACACTTGAACTGGTTTTTTACACCCTGGCTGCTCCCCTGTGGGGCTGGGGAAGAGCTTGGGGGGGTCCCAGCCCCCATTACCCCCCAGTTCTTTGCTGGGAGGAGGAAGAGGAGGAGGAGGTTGGGGGGTTGCACATCTTGCTCCTTGTGCCCTGACCCCAAACATGTCCCCAAACCCCCTCTCCCTTGATGTCTGTGGGGCCACATGTCCCCAAACCCCCTCCCCCTTGATGTCCCTG